TATTGGTTGTGAACATATTATATTTCTGAAGTCTAAACTTTCCAATCTAGATTCCGAATCTTCTCAGGAGCGACCCGGGTCCTGCTTCACTCCTCCAGCCATGGACCTTAGCCTGTCCCCATCTTCTCAACGTGCCTTGTCCCTGTCTCCTTCTCCCTCCTCCCCATCCTCCCCCTGCCCTCCCTCACCTTTGGAGTCACAACACAGCAGCAGCCCTCAGCCACATCTCCTTTCTCGGGTAAGAGACGTTATACACAAAGATCACAAAAACGTAGCCGATTTGCCACAGCCAACCAAAAAATGTATATATGCCTATATATATATATTGGAGGGGTGCCAATAATAAAAAAAATTAATAGAATCAATGTTATTTATAAAGAATCCCATAAAATGATTATTGCTAAGAGCAGGGGGAATGGACGGTTCAGCAGAGCTATGGCTTTGGGTGAGTTTGGCAACTGTATTAAAAAAGAAACCTAGGAGTATTGTTATTGTCATCTATTAATGAAGAGAAGTATTGTGCTCTTGTTTTAAGAAGGATTGTTTATACAACAGTAAAACTTTCTTCCAGATTAATTAGGATACCTATAGATGTCTAGTAGAGTGCTGTTTTCCTTCTAAATTTGCTAGTATTAGGGTTCAAAGAATCCAGCTTTAAGTTAAACCAGGGAACCGGTTTTTCCATAGGAGTTATGTCATCTAAAGCAGTGCAAGGAGGAAGTAATCCCATCAACGAAATTCTATTTTTTTTAAGGGGAATAAATTAACTGGTTGCCCTCTGCAGTGTTGTTCTGTAATAAAGGGGGAAAAGGGACTACACTATTTAAAAGGTATTAGTGGGGGAGGAGATCTCTGGTAAATTCAGTTTTAAGGCTACCAAAAGTAGTCAGATACGACTGCATTGTGTGGAAATACTGTTGTTTATTCACATTAAATATGTCAGCACAAGGTCCAAAGTATGAAGATAAGAATGGGTGGGTCTCTGCACATTTTGAACAAAGCCAATTCAGTCTAACAAAGCATTAATGGCTGCATTCAAGCTATCGCCTTGTTGACATGAATATATAAAAAATAAATAAATAAAAGCCCAACTGTTATTAACTTGTCAGTATTTAAAACCTGATGAAAAGTCTAAAAAAGAATTTCAAAAAATTAAGAATAATGGACTGTTTTTTTTTAATTAGCCGTTTGGATGGGGGAAACTAAGGTTTTTTTGCTTAAAATAATTAACTAACTATTAAGTAGCTTTGGACTAGTCAGTAAATCAGACTAAAATATTGTTGCTACTTATTCTTGCCCAGAATTTCTGGGCATATTAAAAATTAAATATCTAACATAATCCTCTTGTTGCAGTGAGGTTTCTTTTAGACAATGTAAATCAATCTTATTTCCACAAATCAAGCCATTAACTCATAAACGTTTGAAATAGAGATATGCTCAATAAACCACATTTAATTGTTTTAACTTTTTTCTCAGTTATTGTTTGCTGTTGTAATAATATATAATACTAGCTATTAATATTGATAACAATATCCTGATATACTCCTTTAGGATTTACTTCTAATTTATTTGATTTTGGACACTGTTTGGATGTAGTAATGGGTGGGTAACAGTAGAGAAGCTGCAGAGAGGGGTGTTAAACTGGTGTTATTCCTGGTCTTCACCCTGGGCTGCATTTTTTCAGAGATGTATATGGGTGTTTTTCTTCTCTCTTGTCCCTAAGTGATAAGTGTGAATCCTTCATGCAGTGAAGAGAATCCCAATCCTCAGTTTTTGTTTATAAACTTTACACAACTAGCATGTCTTCAGTTAAATGAGGTAATTATTAAGCTGTTTAAAAACTAAATTTGATTTCACCGACTGCACAAAAAAAATGTAGGCTCTGCCTAGCAGTGTTACACATTAGACCAAACACTGGGGTGCAGCAGACTCCACTAAAGGTAAAAGCCTTTTTTGCTAATCAAAATAGTTATTTTTTTTACTTGTAACCAAAAAGGAAAGGAGGATCTTATTATTTTTTTTATTCTTGTCATTGTTGTTTAGGTGTAGCATTTTGGAGAAAAGATAAAGGTTACGTTGTTTTTAGATATCAAAAGCTAAGCAGTCACAAACAGAGGTTTTCATTATTTTGTGCTGGCAGGTATTAGAGAAGGCTGCAAGGTGGTGCAGTTTGTAGCACTGTTGCCTTGCAGCAAAAAAAGTTCTTGGTTTGATTCCCAGCCTGGGTTATTTCTGCAAGAGTTTACATGTTCTCCCTGTGCATGTGTGGGTTATCTCTGGGTATTCCACCTTCCTCCTGCTGTCCAAAAACATGGCTATATCTGCATCTCTAAATTGTCCTAGTGTGTGTCTGTTTGTGTGTGATTGTATGTCTCTGTGTTTCCCTGCAAAAGACTGGCGACCTGTCCATGGTTTACCTCACCTCTCACCCATATAACACCTGAAATAGGCAATGTGACCCAGGATGGATGGAGATTTTTATAAATTTTTATTTTTTTTTAAGATACAGTAAATACACAGAAACATTAACCCCTTTAAAAAACAAATTAAGAATTTTAAATGGCACAAGAGCACATTTTTGTTAGAAACTTACAATAGAATGGAAATATTATTATTATTATTACAGCAGAAAAAAATTGGGGATGTCTGTTACTTTGAAATGATAACACAGGCACAGCTTCTTCCAGACGGGCTCCTTGCTTTGTTTATTTGACACCGTCAAAATACAGCAATGGATACATAACCTTTAAAATTTTATCAAGTTGCTTTACCTTGTGGCCACCTGCCACTTCGGAGATCCTTGGTTAAGTACTCACACTTTTTACATTCTAAACATATACATTGTTAGAACACCATAGACAACAAATGTACAAATATTTCAACACAGTAATTACAAAATACCTTTTATAGTAAGTAAACAACCAACCAACAACTAACCAGTCTGCTGCAGATTCCTAACAAGGCTACCGTGCAGTTCTTGCTGCGAAGTACATATTTCCTGCAGCCTCTTATGCTCACATATAAGTCTCCAGACAAGACCAATGACAAAACTGTTTTGTGACATAATAAATGTATCTTATAAATAAAACAAACATTTTAATGTGAGTCAAAATTAAACAAACCAAAAGTTTAACCTTTGAAAACAAATATTTAATTTGCTGCAGAAATAATATTAGTGACACTTGCAAAGTCAGTGGAAACCCAAAAAGGCAATTTGATGTAAACAGGTTCTCAAATTACTAAAAGAAACTATAAAAGTAACATTTACAAGATGAAAAAAGTTTGAGTCCAAAGCAGGAATAATTGCTGGTATTAAATGCCTTACTGTAGGCCCTGGCATTTTTCCATCCACACTGGCCCACTTATAGATACGGTATATATTTTTGCACAATATTCGAACATAAATTCGTCAAATATAAGAGGAACTTGTAGTTTTGTTTAAAGAAAGCATTTTAGTTTTATTATAATTTAGTATGTTACATGGATTTTATAGTTTGAAGAAATAGAAAATTACACCATATGCCAACCGTCACAAGGATGTGCATGACAAGGAAGGCCTGCATGCATCATTTATGCAGTTAACATTGTATTGCTCATTGAGCTCCTGGAGTTGTTTACTCACAGGTAGGAGCCACGTCCGGAGAGTAAGTGTTGATTTAAGGAGGGCCGGAAAATGCCGGGAAAATGCCCTGTATTACAGATTACCAGTCCAAGCCTTACTGTGATTAAACTAAATTAAGTGAGCAACATGTCGGCTCACTGAAAGTCTCTTCTGTTTGCGGAGTTTCTCTCCGCAAAAAGAAGATGCTTGTTTACAGTTTTAATTGAACTCTTAATCCTTTCTCTGTTGTTCTCTTGTCTGTTAGGAAGCATCTTGGCATCACAGTGTTGAAGGTAGAGCCTCTCAGCCTGGATTTCCATTTTATCTCTCCATGAGGAGCCTCCAAAGAGGCTACAGCTTTCCCTCTCCGTCTTCAATGTTCATCAGTCAGCAAAGAGATAAACCTGTTTCTCCGGAGCCCTCCCAGGATGGCCAGCTGATCTGTCGGTGGAAGAAGGTATACTGCTTGACAAATTGTTCATAGTGTTTTAAAAATGCAGTGCAAATCGTTGTTTAACTCTTATTTACAATTAAGACTAAGAGGCCTCTGATCCAATTACTGGTCATTTATGTTTGTGAAATTAGCTGGCACTCTAATCCCGTCCACTAGAGGGTGTTACGAACTAATAATAATAAAAACAGATGTCAGTCTACTAAAAAAAAAGAAAAATGCAGAGAGAGTTCAGTCAAAAATCTCTAATTATTTGTGGGGTGTACCATAGTAACAATATCACCAAATGAATATGTAAGAAAAAGATGAATAAAAATGCATTAAGTATTATTACACAAGGATGAAAAAGTTTANTTTTTTTAAGGGGAATAAATTAACTGGTTGCCCTCTGCAGTGTTGTTCTGTAATAAAGGGGGAAAAGGGACTACACTATTTAAAAGGTATTAGTGGGGGAGGAGATCTCTGGTAAATTCAGTTTTAAGGCTACCAAAAGTAGTCAGATACGACTGCATTGTGTGGAAATACTGTTGTTTATTCACATTAAATATGTCAGCACAAGGTCCAAAGTATGAAGATAAGAATGGGTGGGTCTCTGCACATTTTGAACAAAGCCAATTCAGTCTAACAAAGCATTAATGGCTGCATTCAAGCTATCGCCTTGTTGACATGAATATATAAAAAATAAATAAATAAAAGCCCAACTGTTATTAACTTGTCAGTATTTAAAACCTGATGAAAAGTCTAAAAAAGAATTTCAAAAAATTAAGAATAATGGACTGTTTTTTTTTAATTAGCCGTTTGGATGGGGGAAACTAAGGTTTTTTTGCTTAAAATAATTAACTAACTATTAAGTAGCTTTGGACTAGTCAGTAAATCAGACTAAAATATTGTTGCTACTTATTCTTGCCCAGAATTTCTGGGCATATTAAAAATTAAATATCTAACATAATCCTCTTGTTGCAGTGAGGTTTCTTTTAGACAATGTAAATCAATCTTATTTCCACAAATCAAGCCATTAACTCATAAACGTTTGAAATAGAGATATGCTCAATAAACCACATTTAATTGTTTTAACTTTTTTCTCAGTTATTGTTTGCTGTTGTAATAATATATAATACTAGCTATTAATATTGATAACAATATCCTGATATACTCCTTTAGGATTTACTTCTAATTTATTTGATTTTGGACACTGTTTGGATGTAGTAATGGGTGGGTAACAGTAGAGAAGCTGCAGAGAGGGGTGTTAAACTGGTGTTATTCCTGGTCTTCACCCTGGGCTGCATTTTTTCAGAGATGTATATGGGTGTTTTTCTTCTCTCTTGTCCCTAAGTGATAAGTGTGAATCCTTCATGCAGTGAAGAGAATCCCAATCCTCAGTTTTTGTTTATAAACTTTACACAACTAGCATGTCTTCAGTTAAATGAGGTAATTATTAAGCTGTTTAAAAACTAAATTTGATTTCACCGACTGCACAAAAAAAATGTAGGCTCTGCCTAGCAGTGTTACACATTAGACCAAACACTGGGGTGCAGCAGACTCCACTAAAGGTAAAAGCCTTTTTTGCTAATCAAAATAGTTATTTTTTTTACTTGTAACCAAAAAGGAAAGGAGGATCTTATTATTTTTTTTATTCTTGTCATTGTTGTTTAGGTGTAGCATTTTGGAGAAAAGATAAAGGTTACGTTGTTTTTAGATATCAAAAGCTAAGCAGTCACAAACAGAGGTTTTCATTATTTTGTGCTGGCAGGTATTAGAGAAGGCTGCAAGGTGGTGCAGTTTGTAGCACTGTTGCCTTGCAGCAAAAAAAGTTCTTGGTTTGATTCCCAGCCTGGGTTATTTCTGCAAGAGTTTACATGTTCTCCCTGTGCATGTGTGGGTTATCTCTGGGTATTCCACCTTCCTCCTGCTGTCCAAAAACATGGCTATATCTGCATCTCTAAATTGTCCTAGTGTGTGTCTGTTTGTGTGTGATTGTATGTCTCTGTGTTTCCCTGCAAAAGACTGGCGACCTGTCCATGGTTTACCTCACCTCTCACCCATATAACACCTGAAATAGGCAATGTGACCCAGGATGGATGGAGATTTTTATAAATTTTTATTTTTTTTTAAGATACAGTAAATACACAGAAACATTAACCCCTTTAAAAAACAAATTAAGAATTTTAAATGGCACAAGAGCACATTTTTGTTAGAAACTTACAATAGAATGGAAATATTATTATTATTATTACAGCAGAAAAAAATTGGGGATGTCTGTTACTTTGAAATGATAACACAGGCACAGCTTCTTCCAGACGGGCTCCTTGCTTTGTTTATTTGACACCGTCAAAATACAGCAATGGATACATAACCTTTAAAATTTTATCAAGTTGCTTTACCTTGTGGCCACCTGCCACTTCGGAGATCCTTGGTTAAGTACTCACACTTTTTACATTCTAAACATATACATTGTTAGAACACCATAGACAACAAATGTACAAATATTTCAACACAGTAATTACAAAATACCTTTTATAGTAAGTAAACAACCAACCAACAACTAACCAGTCTGCTGCAGATTCCTAACAAGGCTACCGTACATATTTCCTGCAGCCTCTTATGCTCACATATAAGTCTCCAGACAAGACCAATGACAAAACTGTTTTGTGACATAATAAATGTATCTTATAAATAAAACAAACATTTTAATGTGAGTCAAAATTAAACAAACCAAAAGTTTAACCTTTGAAAACAAATATTTAATTTGCTGCAGAAATAATATTAGTGACACTTGCAAAGTCAGTGGAAACCCAAAAAGGCAATTTGATGTAAACAGGTTCTCAAATTACTAAAAGAAACTATAAAAGTAACATTTACAAGATGAAAAAAGTTTGAGTCCAAAGCAGGAATAATTGCTGGTATTAAATGCCTTACTGTAGGCCCTGGCATTTTTCCATCCACACTGGCCCACTTATAGATACGGTATATATTTTTGCACAATATTCGAACATAAATTCGTCAAATATAAGAGGAACTTGTAGTTTTGTTTAAAGAAAGCATTTTAGTTTTATTATAATTTAGTATGTTACATGGATTTTATAGTTTGAAGAAATAGAAAATTACACCATATGCCAACCGTCACAAGGATGTGCATGACAAGGAAGGCCTGCATGCATCATTTATGCAGTTAACATTGTATTGCTCATTGAGCTCCTGGAGTTGTTTACTCACAGGTAGGAGCCACGTCCGGAGAGTAAGTGTTGATTTAAGGAGGGCCGGAAAATGCCGGGAAAATGCCCTGTATTACAGATTACCAGTCCGAGCCTTACTGTGATTAAACTAAATTAAGTGAGCAACATGTCGGCTCACTGAAAGTCTCTTCTGTTTGCGGAGTTTCTCTCCGCAAAAAGAAGATGCTTGTTTACAGTTTTAATTGAACTCTTAATCCTTTCTCTGTTGTTCTCTTGTCTGTTAGGAAGCATCTTGGCATCACAGTGTTGAAGGTAGAGCCTCTCAGCCTGGATTTCCATTTTATCTCTCCATGAGGAGCCTCCAAAGAGGCTACAGCTTTCCCTCTCCGTCTTCAGTGTTCATCAGTCAGCAAAGAGATAAACCTGTTTCTCCGGAGCCCTCCCAGGATGGCCAGCTGATCTGTCGGTGGAAGAAGGTATACTGCTTGACAAATTGTTCATAGTGTTTTAAAAATGCAGTGCAAATCGTTGTTTAACTCTTATTTACAATTAAGACTAAGAGGCCTCTGATCCAATTACTGGTCATTTATGTTTGTGAAATTAGCTGGCACTCTAATCCCGTCCACTAGAGGGTGTTACGAACTAATAATAATAAAAACAGATGTCAGTCTACTAAAAAAAAAGAAAAATGCAGAGAGAGTTCAGTCAAAAATCTCTAATTATTTGTGGGGTGTACCATAGTAACAATATCACCAAATGAATATGTAAGAAAAAGATGAATAAAAATGCATTAAGTATTATTACACAAGGATGAAAAAGTTTACCCAGGAACTAAAATTTGAATTTTAAAATTAGTATAACAGATTTGTGATTCATACTTCTTTTTTTTAACTTATACCTTTCCGAGGTTGCTGCAGCGATTCATCTCCATCTAACCCTGTCTTCTGCATGTTCCTCTCTGACACCATCTGCCTTCCTGTCCTTTTTAACTCTATCCATAAATCTCCCCTTAAATTTTTATCTCAGCCTTCTTCCTCGCAGTCCAAGTCTCCACATCCCTCGACCCATGCACTCACTATCCCTCCTCTGTATATGTCTAGATCAGGCATTCCCAAACTCAGTCCTCAAGGCCCCCTGTCCTGCAGGTTTTAGAGGTTTCTTTGCTCCAGCACAGCTGATTTTAATTGAAAGCTGATTAACAGGCTTTTGGTCTACTGCAATCGCTATAACCAGCTGTGCTGAAGCAGAGAAACCTCTAAAACCTGCAGGACAGGGGCCCTTGAGGACCGGGTTTGGGGATGCCTGGTCTAGATCATTTCAGTCTGGCCCCTCGCGCTTTATCTTGAAAAAACATCAAACATGATCTGTCCCTCTGATGAACTCATTGACATCTTATAAACCAGGGGTGTCAAACTGGTTCCAAAAAGGGCCGTGTGGCTGCAGGTTTTCTTTCCAACCAATCAATAGCACACCAGACTCCATTCATCTCATCAAGTGAGTCCAATCTTAACATGATGACTTGATGAGATGACTTGGGTCTGGTGAGCTATTGCTTGGTTGGGAAGAAAACCACCAGCCACACGGCCCTTTCTGGAACCAGTTTGACACCCCTGTTATAAACCTTTCTTGCACGTCTTCATTGCCTCTTTTGCACACTGGCAGTTGCTCTGAAATATTATCCACAAGAATTAAACTTTCCTTCTTTATCTTTGGTGCATGTAGCCTCAAATTTCAATTTGTGTACCTTTTACTCCCACAGATCCATTCTATCCTTGCTATCACTAGACTCCATTGCTTTCTTTTTCTTTTTTTCTTTTCTTCTCCTTCCTTTCCTTTCCTTTCCTTTCCTTTCCAAGGCATCTTGCTAAATATCTCTCCAGAATAACATTAACAATGTAATTTGCTAACATTAAAGTCCATGCAGATTCCTGTCAAGCTTCATCTGTTAACCCTGCTCTGAGATGTGATAGCACCTTCAGATAAAAAGCAGTGGGCCAAATTAACAATATATGTAGTTAAAGCCAGTCTTTGTGGTCTTTCAATAAAAGTGGATCTCAAGGTACTTAATGTATCAACAGCTGATCGAATGTTAAAAATATGTTCAAGTGTGGTATAAAAGAGACCTAAATTGTTTTAACTGTAGCCTTAAATAGATTCCTAATACTTCACCTGTAACTCCTACAGGCTTAAGGTGTGTTGTAGCACTACATACCCTGTCGTTAACATAGCATCACAGGATAGTTGAAACACCTATTTCTTTGCTTACTATAAGAGCCAGAGTTAATGGTTTATATTTTGTTTATTTCTTTGGAGGCACAGGTGATCAGATCTTTCCACACCTGGAGTGATTGCATAGGGGGTGTGGTCACTTGTTATTTTAGAAGATAGGACTGTACCCAAAAGGCAGTCGGGTGAGGAGGTTTTGTCAAACTTTTCTGTTGACTTTCGTCGTTATCATTTTGCAAAATAAATAAGAAAGAAAACGCAAGTGGGGCTCATGGTTGCTTCTTGGAGACGCTTCACAGTACAAAAAACGAAGTCGCTACACCTACAGTGTTTACTTAATACAACATTAATAATTTAAAATAATTAAAAACATACACGCAGTGGGTGTCAGCTTAAATGAGACTAACTAAGCAGGGAAAAAACAAGCTTAGAGAAATTCTTGGATGAAAATACTTTTATTTAAAGGTAAATCCGTTACTGTTAGATATCTATGCTTCAACATAATGTACTGATTCTAGTTCTCTTTGTCTCTCTCTCTCCTCTCAAGTGTAACCTGCTTTTCGACTCACTTCAGGAGTTGGTGGATCACATTAACGACTATCATGTTAAGCCTGAGAAGGATTCTGGTTACTGCTGCCAGTGGGAGGGGTGTGCTCGTAACGGGAGAGGCTTTAACGCCAGGTATGGTGAAACCAGACCAGACTGAAAATAGCTAGGTTATTTATACCAGGATTTTCTGTTAGACACCTATCCACATTAAAGAGTTTAAAAGTAAAACTCCACAGAAAGAACATTATAATGTATTATTTCCATGTTTCCAGGATTTATTAGGGTGCAACTCTTAACATCAGCTTCTGTGACGATAAAGCAGAGTTTATGGTTGTATCCTAATGTTGTTTGTGCTGTAGGTACAAAATGCTGATTCACATTCGCACCCATACCAACGAGAAACCGCACCATTGTCCCACCTGCAACAAGAGCTTTTCGCGTCTGGAGAACCTAAAGATTCACACTCGCTCACACACAGGTAATCAATCAGAATTTCATCTGTGAGCTCAAAGGCTGATGATGGAAAAAACTTCATCCACACTTTATGAAGTTGAGGTCTGGCTATAACTTAACATTTACACAAAATCTAAACTCGTCATGTCTTTATGGACCCTTCTTTGTGCCTTGGTACGCATAATGCTGGAACATCAGTCAGTTAATCTGAGTCACTGCAAGGGTCTGTCCTTATCTGGTCCTTATTCATGTTTTTTTCTTAGTCTTTCCCTGTAAGAAACTCATATTACATAAAAGACTAAAACTATGACTGAAACTAATAAAAACTAAAGTGAAACTAAGCATTTTGACTAGCTAACAAACTCTAAAATGAATTGAAACTAAGATAGAATGATAAAACAAAAACAAAATCAGAATACAAAACTAAGTGAAAATAAAAAAACTATGAACATTTGTAAACAATTTGAACCTTGAATCCCTACACCATATTTCCCTCCTTACCAATTACCATTCCTCTGCACAGCTCAGATCCCCCTTAATGGAGGCAGTGTTAGCCTCCTCTGATTTAGAGTCAAGCAGTGGTGCTTTATGACACAGGATCCAACACTTTGCATTACACTCAGTATATAGGGCCTCAATGAAACTGCTTATGGAGAGCAACTCAATGAACCTCTACAAATTGTTCTTTAACTACCCTAAGTCCAACCACGGGTTTAGAGATCTGTTGCTATTGACTTTGCAGAAAGTTGGAGAACTCTTTGCATCTTGGCATTCGCTTACCTACTCTGTTATTTAACGTAGCCCACCACTGTGATTCAGACGCTACTGTGCTCACTTGATTTGCACAAGAGGGCAACAGAAGGCACCAAATAAAAACCTTAGAACTCAAATATATCCAAAAAACACAACAAAATAGATAAAACTAGAAACGTGGAGCAAAGTAAAACTTAACAGAACCAAAACCTTGACACTTAACTGTTTACAAATCATAAGACTGCAAAATTTCTTGAGTTCAGCTGGACTGGATAGAACATTTTTTTTCAGGATATCTAAATGTTTGTGCCACAAATTCTTCCCTGGATTCAAGTGTAGACTTTGACTATTATTATTTGGACTAACAAATGGATATGCATACTGTTTATCTAAATCTCATTATTAAAAATTCTCAAATACCTTTTGCTTAGAGTTGTCCTGCTCAAATGCTACAAATCGACTCAGTGTAAGGTCAGTTTTATCTTCAGGGTTTCTTCAAATGATTCCCTTCTGTTTGGCTGAAATCCTTCTCCCCTTCAACTTCACCAGTTTCCCTACAACTGCTATAAAAATGACCCCCCCAGTCCTGGTATCAGGGAGATTGTTGAGACCTTTATTCAATCCTTTTCCACACATATCCCAATTAAGGAATGTTGGAATACTAAATATAATTAAAAATATCACTGGTTAGCCCCCTAATCAAAAATTTCAAAATTACTGTTTTTCAAATTAATGTGAGATTTGTTTACAAAGTCTGTGACCTTAAACCAAAGAAAAGAAGCAGTGATTTCAGGATGACAAGCAAAAAAAGACAACACTTTAACCTAACTCTCTACACTAACAGAAAATAAGACACCTTTTTAAAGAATGATGTATCATTGGTGTCTGTCTGATATTCATTTTTATTCTCAAAACATATTAAGTTCATGTAAAAAAAAAGAAGGTTTGAATTAATCTGCAGTTGAAACTCTTTAAACTAAACCAAGGCAAGATCAATCAGTAACATCTAGCAGGGAGACACACCTTCTAAAAAAGAGGTTAAACAAAAACAAGACAACATCTAGAGCAGGGGCGGATTTAGGGTAATTAAGGGCCCTAGGCAAAGACAGGCAGGGCCCCTCTGAATGGAGAAGACAACACATAAAACAGCCCCATTCTACAGATAGAGAAATGTTAATAGAATAGACATCCATTACCAGTTCTACGTTTTGTCCCTCTCTTCTTGTCCCTTTTCTTCTTGTTTTCCTCTCTATGTTTTGTACTCAGCTGACTTTTCATGCTGTCTCTAAAGGAATGAAAGATTT